GTATAAGGCATCATCAGAACAAAAAATCTTACCATAGTGAATGATGGGGGGAGTGCGGAGTGGAGACCCAAAGGTCATTTGTAGGCCACTGGAGATCCCCTTGCAGAGGGGTCTTTGGGAGGAGATGAGCCAGTCAGGGTGGGATGTCATTTCTTGATGATAAATGTAGAGGATTATTGTTTTTAGTAAGTCAATTCTCAAACATATGCAATAGTCTCATACTTACATCTTTATATGGCCCAATATTTTCTTAGTATAATTTCCAGAGATGGACTAGCAATTTTTAATAACTCTTAAGGGCTTTATCAATTTATGCTACAATACAAAGATGAAGAAGAGCATGTTTTCCTGAACACTATTGCCTAGATACTAAATTTTTGCCAGAATGATAGATAAGCTTACCAATGTGGTTCACTGTCATTATTGATAAGTCCAACGTCCTTTTATGTTTTCAATCCTTTCAAAGGCTTTTCTTTAATTGCCCATAATTTTGAGTTTCTGTTTTAGCTGTGTTTATTTCCAGAGATTGAATTTTGCAAGATGCAGAAAAACAAGGCAGTTCCATCAAGTTGTGGCTCTCACAGGACGCACTGTATTTCATGTCCAGATATAGGAATAAGTTAAAACCAAACTCCCTACTATTAGTCAATTCCGACTCATAGCGACCCTATTAGACAAAGTAGAATTACTTCTGTGGGTTTCTGAGACTGTAAATATTTACCACAGCAGAAAGCCTCACCTTTCTCTCTTAGAGCTGCCAATTGGGTTCAAACTGCTGACCTTGCAGTTGCAGCACAACTAGTATCCCATTAACACCAACGCCCCTGCCCAAGCTCACGGTCATTGAGTTGATACTGAATTGTAGTGACCCTATAGAACAAGGAAGAACTGCCCCTGTGGGTTTCTGAGATTACAACTCTTGATGGGAGTTGAAAGCCTTATCTTTTCTCCAGCGGAGCCACTGCAGTTTCAAATTGCTGACCTTGTGGTTAACGGCCCAAAGTTGTAACCACTGCACCACCAGGCACCAGGGCTCTTGTACCTTGGAGTAGGTAGTTAGAACACCATTTAATAATGTTTTTGTGCCCTAAACTGGGGATTTCTGATGGTGTAGGGCTACTGACCACCTTGAACCCATCAGTTGTCTAAGGTGTCTGTCTGAAGTGAATGAGGAGAGATGTTGCTGTGGACTAATTACTCTTTGCTAATCATGACTTGTGGTAACCTATTCCCTTCCCAAATAAGTTCCCTTACTTGCAATTATTGTCTGTGAATTATGTGTGGCCATGCAACAAATTCTTGAACCCAGCATTGAAGTGGAATGGGTGAGGGGGTGGTTGGTGTCAGAATCGGCAAAGGACAGCTTGTGGAGGCAGGTCTGATTCCTGGCTCGTGGCAATCGGGAAACCAGAGGAGGAGGTCAGATCTATCCACTTCCATTGCCGGTTATTGCAATTGAATTGCTCAGGATAATTGTAAAATATCTGCCAAACCACTGAGAATTATGGCCTACCCAAGTGACTCATAACACAAACCGTCTTAATTATTATCTTTAAGTGATTTTTATCATTGAGTTGTCAAAACTTGAAGGAATATTTATGTTTCTTATTTTTGTTGAGAGTTTAGCAAATTTGTTTAATGTAAGATTAATTTTTTTCCCCAAACCATGTTATTAGGAGCTAATCCAGAAATCATACCATTCTGTAGTTCAATCACATTGAGCAGTGTTTTACAACTGCTATTAAAAATCAGTTTCAAAACATTTTATTCACTCTTGAACTACTTGGTATCAGTTCCCCTTTACCACCCCTCCACCCCCCTTCACCTCCTTCACCATGCCCCTCATGAACCCGTACTCTACTTACTGTGTCTGTAGATTCACCCATCCTAGGTTTCATATACCAAAAATCATAGAAAAACACATAATGATGGGTGAAGAAGGCTACCAAATGTGACAAAATTTAACCCAGCTAAACCCTAATATGAAAAAATACAACAAATATTAAAAACCAGATCAAGCCCAAAGCGTATCAGAAGGAAGATCAAGTGACAAGGTGTTAACCCTTCAAGTCCTATTTATCATCTTAGTCTACTGTAGTCATCTCTCCAGTACTCTCTACCTGATAACCAGGTGATTCCATCCCTGAATTGTGAGAGGTAAGCCACTGGAGGCTTAGTCCTTGTATACATTCCGCCAATGTATTTTGGGCATGCACTGTCATCCATAGCCTTCTGCAAACCCAAAACTCACAGGTTAAGCTCTGATACTATTCCCTCCTTCAGATTTGGATTATATACTTTATGATCCTTGGATGCCGGATATTGGTGTTTTTCTTCCAGTAGGTTTAGTTGACATCTCTCTCAGATGGCTACTTGAAGGAGTGTTTCTGAGTTTTAAGAAAATTGATGTTTCAAAAACACTTAGAATGAAATAATAAAGAAGACTAGAGAAGAATTAATGCATTTGAATTGTGATGCTGGCAAAGAATACTGAAAGTACCAAGGACTGCCAGAAGAACAAGCAAATCTTGGAGGAAGTACAGCCAGCATGTCTTTGCAGGCAAGAATGGCAAGGCTGTCTCGTAGTTTGGACATGTTATCAAGAGAGACCAATTCCTGGAAAAGGACATTGTGATTGGTAAAGTAGAAGGGCAGCCAAAAAGAGGAGGATTGTCAAAGAGATGGATTCACCCAGTCACTGCAACCGTGGGCTCCAACATCGTGACTGTGAGGGTCGCGCAGGACTGGGCAATGCTTCTTTCTGCGAAACACATGTTTTCTCTGGGTTGAACTCAACCCCACAGCACCAACGACCCAAGAACACCAACAAAGTTGTTTGGAAAAAGGGCTTATGAACTTATTAAAAGAACTGTTGAGTGAATGAAAGTGCCAGAAAAATGAAATAATTTAGTATTATAAAAGTCAACCAGTGAAAACCCCACAGATTCCAATAGTCAGTTCCAATTCTTGCTATCAATGCTTGGGGATGGCACAGTGTTTGTTCTGTTGTGCCTGGGGTCACCATGAGTGGGGGCTCCCCCAGAACAGCTAACAGCCATAACGTGGAAGAGAGGTGCCAGTTAGTAAAGAATCGTTTTAATAATCATTGAGCATCCTCTATGTGGTAGTTACATAATCGTTTGTCAATTTGACGATTAAGAGTGAAGGGGTGGAGTCTAGCCTGTCAATCAGAGGCCACTGAGGCCTCTGTGTGGGCATGACCTTCTCCTGAGAATGCTGGGAAATCTGGATTTTCCTCCTTGGAGATGGGAGCCACTTTCTCTCTCTGTGGACTTCCTGCGAGGCATCCCTGCGGAGGAGCCACATGGACCTACCTTGATGCAGCCCTGGAAGCTGGACAAGCCACAGAGAGACCCCTGCCAGCGCCGAGATGCTTACACCGCCGCTGGATCCAAAGACTTTATACCCACTGGCCTGTGATCGTCCTGCATTCGGTGTCATTGCATGTGTTTCGTGAGTCTGAAGAGGACTTTATAGATTAGTATTGGAACATAAGAGCTAATATGGGACTTATGGGCTTGGACTGGACTGGGTTGGGATGCTTTCTCAATACCCAACTGCTCTTGTCTATAAACCTCTTTCTTATACTCATAAGAATTTCTATGGATTTGTTTCTCTAGTCTACCCGGACTAACACACTCTATATGCTAGACGTCTTTCATAGTTGATTTCACTTTTCCTGATAGCCTTCCATGAGAATTATTACAATGTCTGTTTTAGTAATGAAGAAATTGAAACTTAGAGAAAGAAGTGATATGTCTAAAACTGCATAGCTAGTACTTCTCACTTCCAGAATTTGAACATGAATTTTTCTGACTACGTAGGGCATGCTTTCCAACCTCATCAAGCTGCCTCCAGTCTAGGATTTCTATTATTGGTGGGCTTGAATGATGATAGAGGCGTGCTGTCCGTTACTGTAGCTCTTAGCCATAGGTAGCTATTTTAGATTCATTACAGTTTTAATTCCCTAATTGCACTAGCCACATTTTAAGGGCTCAATGGCCGCCTGTGGCTAATGGCTACCACATTAGATGTTTCAAGGAGCACTGGTAGTATTGCGGTGTGCACAATGGCCTGCTAACTGCAAAAGGAGCAGTTTACACCCAGCAGGCGCTCCACAGGAAAAAAGCGGTAAAGGTTTCTGCTCCCAAAGATTTACAGCCTTGGAAGCCACTGGGACACTTCTGTTGTGTCCATAGGGTTGCTGTGAGCCAGAATTGAGTAGATGGCCGTGAGTTTGTTTTTTTAAATAGACATTTCTATCATCAAACAGAACCTTGCTGTTACAGAGTTTTACATTGGCTTTAATTTCAGCTACCTACATCTAGACATGCTTTTCTGAAATATAGAGACCTGGGTGTGGCCATATGAACATTCAGCACTGAGGATTAGTAAGTAATAGAGTTTGGTGCGGGGTTCTGTGACTTCTTTTGGAAGGAGCTAATTGAACTGCTTGCCTCCCTTTGTGCTGCCAAGGACACTTCAAGTCTGGCAGGAGGGCAGAGGGGAGCGGCGGCTGCATTAGCCATTTGATCTTGCCAGCACTTGACATGGATTTTTCTTAGAGATAATATTGGAAATATTTCTTATGTCTTAATTTCCTCCCTCCAGGTCCTTCTCAACATTACTTGCTTCCTCTTCGACAAATTGCGCTATATCATTGGCCTGGCATCTTTATGTGCTTTTGCCTTAAAGCTTCCCCAGTGTGCTCCTGTTTTTAACCTTAATTTGATATCTTTCTTTCTGTTCCACTTCAACAGCTGTAGCCTCCATTCCAGGCATTTTGCTAAATCAGTTTCTTTCCTTTCCCCCATTTTTTCTTATCAATCTTATGAGAGTAGCAGTGTTTCAGTTAATTCCTGAGACACAGTGCAAAGTTTGTGACAGGGCATTCCTGTCCATCCGTGTATTCAGTTGATATAACCCTGATATCAAGATCAGTTAAAAAAAAATAGGTTGAATACTAGCTGAACTTCTAAGAATATTAGAGGAATGTTTTTTAAAACATTTATGTTATTTTTTTGTTTGATTCATAAAAATAAGTTTTGATATGCTAAAACCTGTACTATAGGATGAGCTTTGACTGTTAATCGCAAAATCAGCAGTTCAAACCCACTGGCTTCTCCTCAGGGAGAAGATGAGGCTTTCTGCTCTGCTCCTATAAATATTTAGTCTTGAACACTATATAGGGTTGCTCTGAGTCAGAATTGACTGAATGACAGATTTTGTTTTATTATTTTTCCAAGACAAACTATTTTCCTAACTGATACAAATATTTGGCAATGATTTTAAGTGTATAATCCTTACAAGACCCTTTGTGATTAGTACTTTTATTCTTAATTAATCTCTCACTCTGGATGAAAGGAAGTAGACATTAATGCATGCAATTAATCTTCCTTTTCACAACTAGATGTCAGTGTTAACATACCTGGTTAAATGTCTCAGGTGTGATTATAATGAGCTAATTTAAGGTGTTATTCTCCTATAGGAAATACAGATTAAAAGATAAATGATGAAGAAGCAAATGAGGAAGAAAGTAAATCTTAATTCGAACTTGGCTGGTTCTATACTTACATTTTGGAGAAAAAGTATGCATGATATAAGTAAGCAATTAAATTTAAAAAATCATTTTATTCAGGGCTAATACAACTCTGATCACAATCCATACATACATCCATTGTGTCAAACACATTTGTACATTTGTTGCCATCATCATTTTCAAAACTTTCTACGTGAGCCCTTGGTATCAGCTCCTCATTTTTTCCCCTCCCGCCATCCTTCCTCCCTCAAGAACCCTTGATAATGTATAAACTATTATTAGTAGCAGTTAAACTTTTTGACTTGTTTGGTTAGAAAAAGTAGGTAGAATGCGAACTTGTACTTTTTTATTACTGTCAATCAGAGGTTTTTCTTTCCGACTTTTAATGAAAGAGTGATCAGAAAAGGAAGATTATTGCTATTCAAATGTAGCGTATTATTCTTTTCTCCTTTTAATAAGAAAATTCTTTATAACAGGAACTCTTTTTGTCCTCAGTGAAATTTCTTATAGCTCACCTACAAGTCTCTTGATGTAACTTCATTTGTCCCCTCCTTTTCACCCCCTTAGTTAAGTCCTCATCTAAATCCTTTCTTTGTAGATGCAACATGAAACTCTTAGAAGCATTCGTACTATGTTTCTCTAACTAGGAATCCAAGGGTGCTCATTCATACCTCCTACTAACATGGAGACTTTAGCACCCTCTAATTCTGTCCATTAGCATAGCCACAGGCATAAAGGCCAGCATTTATAATACGTCACATAATTTATTTTTCACAATACTATTTTTACATTATTAGGCATTTTCAAAATTTATATATCAAGTTTAATGAACATCTTTGGTGACTGCATGTTTAAATTATACAGTGGAGAACTTGTGGGAGATTAGGATTTTGAGATTTGACAGGCTTGCTTTTCTTTTTGTTATTTGAGTAAGTTTAACTTTTCCTTTAGGAACACACCCAGACCCCCAAACAATTTTGTTTTGAAAGGGTAGGTTGAATTAGTATTAGTAATATCTTAGTATATCCATTTCTCATAACCTAATATTTTGTCATACAACTGGTATTAAGTTTTCAATCAATGAAAACAGTTCACTTGGCTATTGATTTTAAAAATCCGTTTTTCCCTGAAAAATGAATTTTTATCTCATTAGGTTTTGTATTGATATGTGAAACATTCATTTAGCAGTTGCTTTTGCCAGTTTTAAAGTCTTGAAGGCATATAACACAAAACATAGAATTAATGATTGATTGTGGCCCACTTTTAGCACATCACTCTGTAATTTTCAACCAGCCCCAATAAAGATAAAAGTATATCACCCAACTGCAGAGAATCCAAGTTTGCTGCTGCATTATATCTATAGACATTCTATATATAGGCCCTGGTGGCATAGTGGCTTAATGATTCACTCATTGGGCTGTTAACCACGAAGTCAGCAGTTTGAAACCATCAGCTACTCCATGAGAGAAAGATGAGGCTCTCTGTTCCCATAAAAGTTTACAGTGTCAAATAATAATACTTTATGATTTATCAAGGGTTCACGAGGGTAGGAGGGCAAAAAGAGGAGCTGATACCAAGGTCTCAAGTAGAATGAAATGTTTTGAAAATGGTGATGGCAACATATGTACAAATGTGCGTTCTACAATTGATGTATGGATTGTTATAAGAGCTGTTAGAGCCTCCAAGAAAAAGATTTATTTTTTTAAAAAGTTTACAGTGTCAGAAATCCACAAAGACAGTTGTACTATTTCCTGTAGGGTCCCTGTGAGTTAGAATTGACTTGATGGCACTGGGTTTGGTTTGGGTGTATTTTATATATACATGCAAGCAGACTATATCATACTTTTCCTTTAATTTCTATTTTGTGAAATAGATACAACAAAACACCATTTCAACCACTGTTTGTTATCTTTTTAAGTCTTCCTTTATATATGTCTGAAGATATCTTAGATGCTTTGACAAGGATAATTTATAACCTTCACTTCTGCGAAGGTAAAGTGACTGCTCACTGAGCTTGCTGACTAACCCTCACTATTTCCAACAGGGGCTTGGGGATAACTGATCCTAGCCACGTGTCTGGATGCTAGTAAACAATCAATATTTACAGGCATTCCCTACTTCATTACGATGTGTCTAGTTACTGTGAAACTCAATTATGACCATCCTCGTATGGGTTGTTTATTTTTTGTTTATCTTATCATTAATAATTGCAACACATAATTTTCAGCTGTTACCAACCTCATGCCAACCCCCAAAGATATATGAGGATCAGATTTGGAAAGACACTCGTAATAAAAGGCAATCATAATGAAAAACAAAAAAAGAGATGAAGACTTCCCTTAGAATCCATTCATGGCAGACAAAATGGAAGCTGCCGTACCTGAGGAGTGATGGTTTCTGAATGTGTGGGAGCTTTTCTCCTTGGCCTTTCTCCTGACATGGGATTTGCTTCTTGGGTCCTGCTCTATGAACCCTAGCTTCTCATATCCTAATTTTTTCTCATTTCTTTCTATTTTGATACTTGAGATAAGATAAACGATTAGCTACCAACAGTTAAGAAACAATTAGCTTTGTGTAGCTACTATGTGATATTGTAATGTCACTGATGATTTCCTTAAGTCTCAAATAATTTTATTACTATTTTTAAAATACTTTGATTTCTAAAGCTTTTCTCAAATGCACACACATACACACACTCTGATTTGCGACAGGATAACACAGAATAGAATTTGTATGTGTTTGGGGAAGGAGTACAAGAGTAACTGCAAAGTAATAGGGGTACCACGTACGTAGTTCAAATTTTGACTGTCATTTACACACTATGGCAAAATTCTCTGACTCTGAAAGCATTTAAAGATGCCTTCCTTTACTACTGATACAGAAGGACACTCTGGCCTCACACTTTCTCTTCACCTTGTTAACTGTTAACTTTTTTTTATATTGTTTTATTAGGGGCTCAGAATTGTTAACTTTTT